CAGCCGCGGCCACACGACCAGGCGCTCTCCGCGGAGGTCGCGCGGCTCTCCGCGGCCCGCGCGCGCCTCCGCGCGGCGCGCTCCCTCGGCGACAAGCTCCGCGCGCTCGACGCCGAGCCCCGCGTCGCGGCCTTCTTCGGCGACGCGTCCAGCCGCGGGGTCCTGGGCGGCCTCCGGCCCCGGGAGGCGTACCTGCTCAAATGCCTCGTCGCGGCCGGCCAGGACCACGTGCTCGGCGCGGAGCTCGGCTGGGCCGGCGGCGGCCACGAGCGCCACCGCAATGGGAGCGGGGGCGGGAGCGCGCTGAGGGAGGCGCTGTACAGCCTGGCCGATCTGGTCGGGAGGTGGAGCGAGGAGGGGGCGGCGAAGGACGAGGCCGGGAGCGGGGAGACGGAGCTGCTGCTCGGACGGCTGCTCAAGTTTCTCGGAGACATCGAGGAGTTCTACGACTGCGTTGGAGGCATCATCGGGTGAGTGAGCATCGCCTCTTTGTCTGCACCGCTAGAGCCTAGAGAGTTGGAGACTCGGTACACGGCCGGCCAAGCTCCATGCAAGTGCTGCCAAATATGGCCCTCGCTTAAACTTGAAGCTACTATTAACTGCCGACTGGCAAGTGAGCTGATCGCCTATTTGCCATAACTTGTCTGTCCTACTCTGGTCTTCGTAGTTAAAACTTCCATTATTTGAACCATTTCATCTACTAGCTTTGATCTTCAAATTTCAAATAGTATTTCTGATATTGCTCTGCTCCAGCTACCAAATTATGGCGTTGGAGCTGCTTTCGGTCTCCAAGTCCAAGGACAGCAAGCACCGGCATAGCAAAGACAAGTTTGTCGACTTCCATGTTCCCACTGGACTTAATCTATTGGAGGATACAGAATATGCATCTCAAGCTGCCATGTGGGGAATCGAGGTTATTACGAATGCCACATTAACTAAGATTTGTGACAGAGGACATTGACATTGTTTTTTAATAATGTCATTCCCCCTTACATTGACATTGCTCAAGGGTACGTACTGAAATATGATCATTTCTAGGGTTTGCCAGAACTTGGTGAAATTTATCCAATTGGTGGTGCCGGTGACCGTCTTGGTTTAATGGACTCAGATACCGGTGAATCCCTTCCTGCCGCATTGCTTCCTTACTGTGGAAGATCTCTACTGGAAGGACTGATGCGAGATCTGCAGGTACTTGTGTTTTGTATAGAAAACTCTAATTTGGGTACATTTTTTTTACCAAAGAATTGCTTAAAATAATGTACTTAGGTGCCATGGACACTTGGATAATATCTTGTATGTACTGAATTTTATGACAGGCTAGAGAGTTTCTCCATTTCAAGATCTTTGGGAAACAATGTATAACCCCTGTGGCGGTCATGACAAGCTCTGTGAAGAATAACCATGAACATATAGTTGCCATCTGTGAAAGACTTGAATGGTTTGGTAGAGGCCGTGAGAACTTCCGCTTGTTTGAACAGGTATATAATTGGAGACTTCTGGCATTATCTGTTCATTTGTGTGCATTTCTATTTAGTACAATCGTCAGTTACACATTCTGCCCAGAACTTCTGTGGAGTTCTAACTAAATCTTTAGATCATCGAGTTCTAACTAAATTGCATCATGGCTTTTCTAGCCCTTGGTGCCTGTAGTAAATGCTGAAGATGGCAAATGGTTAATCAGCGAGTCACTTCTCCCTGTGGGTAAACCCGGTGGTCATGGCGCTATTTGGAAGCTTGCTTGCGATCGAGGTGTATTTGAATGGCTTTATTGTCATGGCAGAAAAGGTGCAACTGTTCGTCAAGTCAGGTTACCTGAACAGCATCTGTTTTTCTCTGTTGTGTAAAGAATTGTTTGGAAGGGGGAATAACTGTCAACCTCTTTTGCTATTTTCAGCAATGTTGTTGCTGCAACTGATTTGACGCTGATGGCATTGGCTGGAATAGGCCTGCGTCACAATAAGGTAAGAAAAATGCGGATTTCTCTTCTGAGTAGCTCACATTAGTTACTAATATTAACCTCGACTATGCTATCTATTTTGCACCTCCGGATTGTATTATGGATTTTTTTAATCTCTACATATGCTGACATATAGCATATCGTACCTCAGAAATTAGGTTTTGCATCTTGTGAGCGAAGACCAGGTGCTACGGAAGGGGTGAATGTTCTTATTGAAAAACAAAACCTTGATGGGCTCTGGGAATATGGTATCACTTGCATCGAGTACACTGAATTTGAAAAATACGGCATATCAGAACCTACAGCAACGAATGGCAGGTAACGCACATATTATCCCAAAGTGCGCACCCCGTTTAAATACGACGAGGGCCCCAATTGCATACCTTTATTCTGCTCCTGATGCTTTACCCATTCCCTCCAGTTTTTGTGTGTCATATGCTCTTCATGGTGAATTTAATATTGTAGAAGCGTAAGCTATACTCTTTTGTTCTTAGCTACAAAAGTCAGTTTTTATATGTATCCTATGAAGCTGTCACCGAGATTGACACTAATTAAAAAAGATCCAGAAAAATGTGAGTAGCCAGGTTATGTTACCTTGAATTCTGAGAAGTATAAATGCACGTCTTTGCATTCTTGTATATAGATTTACGTCAAGTTACTGTTGCAAGATGGCAATCATTTGTTAGTACCATAGTGATGTTGATCCGGCTGCATATGATGTAGCTTCAAACACCCTCTTTCTCAGCTTCATTTTTTTTGCAAAGGATGTGTTTCTCAGTTTTTCCGGTTTGGTTGGATGCAGTGATGTTTCCTACCACTAAGATTCAGTCCTTTTGTGTGCATCAGTATCTATCTTCCTCAAATCATCTCGGCTTTTGTTAATTTAGTTTGCAGGCTAGCTATCCAGCAAATACAAACATTCTATATGTTGACCTGCAAGCAGCGCAGGAAGTTGGATCACGGAAAAATGCTAGCTGCTTACCAGGAATCGTGCTAAATTTGAAGAAGGCAGTATCATATGTGGATCATCTGGGCTTTGAGTGTAGGTACTTGCTTTCCAGTAAATTCCCTACGCACTTCTGGCCTTTCTGTATTCCTAGTGTTCAGTTCTCTACACTTGTAATCTTATCACTTGGGCTTATAATGTGAAACATATTATTAATCGCACAAAGATTTCAGTGGGTGGGCGGCTACTTAATATGCTTGCTATATCATTTATGTACTGAAGGCTTGCTTGGTTATGTCGGCATAAATGCGTTGCATATTGCTTGGTAGCTGGTGTGGGAAGGGCGACAATATGACTGCAGCTAAGGCAGCGACAGTTAATTCATGGAAAATTGCAAAAGGCCCCTACACACGCAAAAAAAATAATTTTGGCCCTTTGAGTTCATGCTAATACAAAACTGCAATGGGACTGGGGGGAAATCGAACTATATACCTGTTACAATTAACTGATTTATTATCATTCACTAACTTATTTCTGCTACATCATTTTTCCTATGTGACAGCGCTGCGGGTGGCAGGCTAGAGTGCACAATGCAAAACATAGCAGATAATTTTATGAACACATATAGCTACAGGTGCAGTGAAGGAATAGAAAGTATGTAAGTAGTTTCATATTTGCTTCCCATGTAATCATGTCTGTATCCAACTACCTGTCTTTTTGTGTCTCGGGTTTTTAGTAACCTCGTATTTAACAGGCGAGCTCGACACGTTCATTGTGTACAATGAAAGGAAAAAAGTCACTTCATCAGCTAAAAGGAAGCTGAAACCAGAAGACAGATCATTGCACCAGGTCAATATCACACTATGCAATCCAAATGGATACTCATGTTGCTGCACGCAAATTATGGGATTCTAAACTTCTACCTAACTTGGTGTACCTTCTAAAACCTAAAGGGTTTCATTAAAGCTTATACTTTCTACCTCTCATGAATTCATATATATGATATATTATCATTTTTACATTTCTGAGTTAGTATATATATTCTATATCTGTCTGGTGTCTGAAACTATCTCTCTGACAGACTGAAGACCCACACTTAATTTTATACTGATTGCGGAAGTAAAAATTTGACTGTTGTCACGTTAGTGTTACTGTATTTTATGTTTAGTAGGCCAGCGCTTAGCAAGGTTTTCAGCATCAGGATACTAGGCAGTATCATTTTTTAGTTTATAGGATTAGGTCGTAGTATCACTATGCTATGAGATTTTTATTCTCAAGTATAATTAATAGCATGTGAGAGGCTTCTGGTACTGCTACGTTTTTATGACATACTAGGTTGTAAAGCTTGACCATAACAGCTGGAAAAAAATAATCTTGACTTGTGTTTACGATTTGTTTGTGTACAGACTCCAGAGGGTTCACTCCTCGACATTATGCGCAATGCTCATGATCTTCTTTCTAGCTGCAGCATAGAGGTTCCAAAGGTAATTGTACTTCTGTGCTCTGTTTTGTGATCTTATTTTCACATGGAAGGCATCCCATGTGGTATTTTCTCACTTTAGTAAGCAGAACCGATTGGTATTAGCTTCGGTTGGAGTTTTAGAAAAAGAGAGCTGCAGCTTGTCAGTGCTGGACTTGTCATTATGGTTCCGTCCGGCAGTAGTATTTTTGCTAGTATTTTGAAACTTCAGTGCCCTCTTCATCTTTGAAAAATTATATTACCCAGTAAACCAGTAATATTTTGAATATTATGTACTGACTTAAACTGCGTTCAGTCATATCCGTAGCATATGCTAAGCTATTACCTTCAGAAGAATAGTCCTAAATGCATTTACATATGTTCATCTGATTTACTACTGCGAGATAGACCAATGAAATCGGAAAAAATTAGCCATGCAGTAAAAAAAAAGTGAATTCCTGGAGCATTCCCTCATCTGAAAAATGTTATTTATATGATTAGTTAATATGAAACAATGCAAGTCAGTGACTTATACCACTACTCTTTGGAAATGAAAAGGACACAGTGATTTTCCAGTGCATACATTTTCCTATACTATATTCAAACTTCATACATGTTATTCTTAGTTTATCTGTTTCCAAGGAAAATAATAGAATATTCTAGATCTCATGAGGTGTCTTTCTGAAACTTAAATGAATGAACGTATTACATACTATTTGCTATCTAATTTACTGTATACTATCTAATGTCATAATCTTTTGAATTGTTCTTCAGTTTTCTGGTTAAAGATAATAGTGAGTGCATGAGTGCACCATTCGGTACCAGCTTTTATCATGCCTTGACATATCTTTTTACTTATCAATTCAGGTCAAAGACAATAATGAGTACTTGCATTCTGGGCTACCATTTCTCATATTTCTTCATCCTGCTTTAGGTCCATTTTGGGATATCATAAAGCAAAAGGTATGTTACTTCAAAATTAAATGGGTAAAACATGATAGCCCTAGCCTTTTCATCTCTTCACTAATGCATTAGTTTCTCGACATGATATATATTGAGCTTCCACTGGTGGAGCATAGTTGAGAGTGGCAAATTATTTTCCCAGGTCTCCTTAGTGCCCCGCATTCAAGGTTTACGAGTGGACGAGTTGTTTTTTTGGTTGAGACTCATATACTAATCATGACTAATCAACACTAGTCGACACTGAAGTTGCAACTCATAGACTAGTTGACGCTGAAGCGTAGTCGGCCCTGGAGTTGAGACTCATAGACTAGTCCTTGGACTTATAATCCACCACATTACATGTGTGCAAAGATATAGGCCAGCAGCGTATAAATTTGATTCCCAGAAAACAAAAACAGCTTATAATCTTTTGAATGAAAACAAAAACAGCTTATAATCATGATATAGTGATATGCCTCGTTTATCTGCATTTAGCTCTAGATTTGTACTTTAGAAAGTCAGTTGTTTCAGCCTGAAAACACATACTCCCTCCGTTCCTAAATAATTGTCTTTCTAGATATTTCAACAAGTGACTACATACGGAGCAAAATGAGTGAATCTACACTCTAAAACATGTCTACATACATCCGTATGTTGTAGTCCATTTGAGATGGCTAGAAAGACAATTATTTCGGAACGGAGGGAGTAGATAACACAATATCGAAGTGTAATGCACATGAAGTGTAAAACACTATGCTGCTGTCTGGTGCCATGACATGTTCCTTCTATATGAACGGTGTGTGCAATGGACAAGCCGTCCCTTGTGAAATATCTTTTTACATGACTTTCATGTTTAGTTGCCAGTGCTTACAATCTTACAGTCTAAAACTCTGTTCTATATGCGTCATTTTATTTTTTCTAGCTATGTGCTTAGTTGCTTTTGATGGCCATGATTACTTCAATATCTAGTTTTCCACACATGCAGTTCATAGGTGGCTCCATCTCTAAAGGTTCAGAGTTGCAAATAGAGGTGGCAGAATTTCTATGGGAAGATGTTGAGGTAACCATTAAAACAGATGATTAGCATGTATTTGCCCCATCATATGTCTGACTGAATTTATTGATTTTAATTTTAGCTGGATGGGAGCCTTATTATTCTAGCTGATAACATTATGGGCCCAACAAAGAGGAACACTCATGGTGAGCAAATACTACACTATGGAGCCAGGTATCGTCTACTCTAAAGCACATATTCTCTGAAGCACGCATCTATCATGTATGGATGAAAACTCTGAATTCCATGTCTGGTGAAAGGTGTGGGAGATGCAAGCTGCAGAATGTTAAAATTGTGAACGAAGGGATCAGCTGGGATTCTCCCAGTAATGTCTATTGGCAGCATCATGTTGAAAGATCAGAATCTTTAAAGATTATTCTTCATGGAAATGCAGAATTCGAGGCGAAAGATGTTCTCTTGAAGGTGCAATTATTAAGAAGTGTGAATTTCCTTTCCCTCCTTTTCCTTCTTATAATCTGATTTCCTTGTTCTACCAGGGTAACCATATGTTTGAAGTACCCGATGGTCATAGAATGTGCATCCTTCAGAACGAAGCAGGTTTGTTGGTTCATGTACCCTACTTTCTGGTTCAGAAAAGATTGTGTGCAAGCACATCCTCCCGTTTCCCCCTTAGGTTCATAACACAACAAAATAATATACTTAAAACCTAAATTTATCGCTTATATCATTATCTTTTATTACCACTGCGTTGTACTCCCTCCGTCCCATAATGTGAGACGTTTTTTGACACTAACCTCTTATATTTAGTCACAGAGGTAGTAGCTTATATCATGCATCTGATATTTCTCAATGAATTATCTTTGTCCATCAGGGTTTGTTGTCAAGTTAGACCCTATAAAGAAGGAGATGATGGACAGCGGAACGTGGTACTGGGAGTACACGGTAGATGGCGCCCATGTGAAGTTGAATATGGTAGATCCGTGAGGAGATAGTACCAAGTGTAGATTCTTGACTCATTGATTCCGGCTAGGTAAATTATGCCAAGAGCACGTTTGACGAATAGTTTGGGTAGATGAAATCCAGCTTCTAGTTGCTGTTGTATAAGGTAAAAGAAGGGCCGTATAGACTGTTGTACAGTGGACTCTGGACTGCATATCAAAGCCTGCTCTTCAGCCCATTGTTCTCACATTTTAGGATTGATGATGTACATACAAATATACTCAGTATTTCTGAATGTCAAGGAGAATACTCGTTCTCCCCAAGTCAAATGACCCTGTTTATATCTACTTGCACTCTGTAATCTCCTCGCTTTAAGTGAGTGATGCACATACAAAAGACGTTTCTCAATGTTGAGAAGAGTACTCATTCTCCCCAAGTTCTCAAAGGCTTATTCCTACAATGGAGAAGAAATCTTCTTTTTTTCGTGTCAAAACTGACACCATTATTGCATAGCCAAAGAGCCCAAGCCCAACGTATGGTCGCCGTCTGCACCCGGATATGTGAAGTACTCCCTCTGTAAACTCATATAAGAGTGTTTAGACCACTATTTTAATGATCTAAATGCTCTTATATTAGTTTACGGAGGGAGTAGGTTTTTTTACTGATATCATACAACCAGTTGACAGAAAATCAACACAGACGTTATGGGGTGGATATATATTTGAAGCCATGAAAATGGACCAGATAGCTCAAGGATTCGACACAAAACAAGTGATGTTTGATTGGCTCATCTAGACCAACAGAAGAGGAGCCCTGCGCATTTTATTTAAGAGGCACAGCATTGCTCCAACCACTGGGCTAGAAGCTAGATGCCCATCCACATGCACAAGTCTTACTATCTTGCCGGTTGCGACGTGCAAGGTTGTCCCTTGTAAAGATGACCCCTCGGTATAAAAATCAGAGAAAGTCACAATATTTAAAGTGATCTTGAGCTTCCATAATTTTATTCCTACTTATAGGAACATGACAGTGACAAGAGGTAAAGAGCCGAACATAACAGAGTTAACGGAGAACTTGTACTTCTGGTGTAAGTTCCACCTAAATTCATCCGGTTCTTGTGAAAGTTGTATGCAATCCAGCCGACGAAACAAAGCGTGCCAGCAGCTCGACAAGGAGCCCATTAAATCTACGGGAAGCGATGGTTAGAGGGAGAAGAGAAGGACATTTTAACCAAGGTGTTGAGTAACGTGATTGTATTAGGAAAGACAAGATAGCCTAGGATTTATTCCGGCTTGTCTTGTACTCCAAGTTGGTCATTGTACTCCTATATATATGCCCACGAGGCTCAAACAATACATAAAAACTATTCCACAAAATCCCTCTCTCCCTTCTAACATGGTATCTATCGCAAGTCGATCCTAAACCCTAGCCACCGCCGCTTCCGCACCTACGCGCCGCCCTCGGGACGGTCGGCCTTCATGACCGCCGGCTGCCCTAGAGAGTCTTTTTTCCCGATCCTTTGATCCGGGTTTTCTCTCTCGCCAGTCGCTTTGATCGGCGTCTACTTTTTGGTTTTCGGTCTACGTGATCCGGTTTGTGTCGCCCACCGCCGCCGTCGACCCTGAGTGCCTCTACTCCGACCCCGGCACGACCCGCCGGCCTCTCCTCCGACCCGGCGGCCACGCGCGCCGAGGCGGCCCGTCAGGGCCAGCCGTCGTCCGCGCGTCGGTCCGCCCGTCGCCCTGCGCCGGCCGTCACCGCCCTGCTCCGACCGGGACTCCTGCATCAACCCGACCCGGCGGCCTCGCGCCATGCGGCGGCCAATCATAGCCGCCCTGCCGCCCGCCGCGGCCGGCTTCATCTCGGACTCCGCCGCCACCACGCCTGCATCGAGCGGCGTCCCCGACCTCGCGCGCGATCGGCTTGATCACCCGCTCGCCGCCACGATCTGCCTCATCTACGCCGCGCGACCGACCTGGCCCGCCGGTTACGCGTGCCTCCGCAGGTCCCGTGAAGATCGTCCCCGAGTTCAGTGCGCCTCTCCATCGATTGAGCATCGGGCTGCTGCTGCGCCGCCCCGTCGGGCCGCAGCGCCGCCGCCTCGTGGTTCTTCTCCCGGCTGCACCGACCCACGTCACCGCTGCGTCGCCCCTTCGGGCCGTAGTGCCGCGGCCCGCGGTCCCCCGCTGCCCCGAGGGCGTCCGCTCTAGGCCGTCCCGTGGCTGCATCGACCCTCGCGCCGCCGCTGCGTGGCCCCGTCGGGCCGTAGCAAGTGTGGCACGCGGTCCACGCCGCCATCCCGAGGCCGTCCCCGTGGTTGCACCGACTCGCGAATCGCCGTTGTGTCGCCCCTTCGGGCCGCAGTGTCACAGTCCGCGGTCCCCGCCGCCGCCCCGAGGTCTTCCCGCCGTCGCCCCGACCCGCCTACCGCCGCTGCGTCGCCCCTTCGGGCCGTAGCGCTGTGGCCCGCGGTCCACTCCGCCGTCACCGCGCGTTGACCTCCCGTGGTATGCGCCGGGCCGTCTCCCTTGGCGTGGGAACGCCACCGTCCGCGCCGGTCTTCGTCACGCTGTCAGGGTTCTTCGCCTACTTCGAGCATCGCCGCCACACTCATAACCTAGCCACCGCCGCCGCCATCAGGCCGCCGCCGCCGCTCTTCTTCGGCCGCTGTCGTTGCTACCCCCGTAGCCGCCGCCGCCCGTCCACCCCGTTCGTCTTCATCCAGCACCAGCCCGTCGCCAGTGTCGCCGTCATCTACCCCGACCGCTTCATCTACTCCGACAACCGCATGCGACATTGGCCCCGCGTCGATTGGTGCCGCAACCATCGTCGAGTCCTTCTTTGCTGGCCTCTCCGACTTCTTCGACATGGCGTACAGCTTGTGCAGGTCCCAGTCTACGCATGCTCGGTGCTGGCAACACCGCCGCGTGCCTTCGTCCACGACGTGTCCCCGGGCCTGGCAAGCCTGGCGCGGCGCTTCGTCAACTTCGTCTCCGTTCGTCTACGCATGCCCGGTGCTGGCAACACCGACGCGTGCCTTCGTCTACGATGTGTCCCCAGGGTTGGCAACCCCGGCGCGACGCGTCGTCAACATCATCTTCGTCCTGGCGCACCACTACTTCGACACCACTGCGCCCACGACTAACTCGGCGCCCCCTTGCGCCCGTGGCTCCACGGCGACTTCCTCGACACCGGCCACCCCGACTCGACATCGACCACGGCATTCTTCGCAGGGCTACCTCGACCACGGCTCCACCACACACGCTCTCGGCTACATCGACAAACGGCACAAAGGGCTACCGCCTGCTTGAGCAACCTCGTTGGTTTCCACTCCAACCACGACTCCGCGATGCGTCGACCGTTACGACTGTGGGGGGGGGTGGTCCGTCGGCTTGCCTTCGGATTCTTCTCCAGTCTCACCGTCTGCGTTGCTACCGTTGTGACTGCGGGGGGATGTTGAGTAACGTGATTGTATTAGGAAAGACGAGATAGACTAGGATTTATTCCGGCTTGTCTTGTACTTCAAGTTGGTCATTGTACTCCTATATATATGCCCACGAGGCTCAAGCAATACATAAAAACTATTCCACAAAATCCCTCTCTCCCTTCTAACACAAGGGATGAAAAAGTGCACATGTGAAGTTTGCACTGTGAGTATAGAGTAGTCCCATATGAAATTGAATATGCCGGACATATAAGGAAATACTTGATTCATTGGTTCCGGCTGCCCATGTGACATCGAATATTGTAGACCTACAAGGAGATAGTACCAACCGTGGATTCTTGATTAATTGATTCTGGCTAGGCTAGCCTGCTATTCAGCCTATTCTCCTCACTTTCAATGGGTGATGCACATACAAAGATATTTCTCAATGTCGAGGAGAATACTCAGTCTCCCCCAAGTTCTCAAAGAACTCTGTTTATTTGTACTACTCGCACTCTGTAATCTCGATCTTACAGAGCAAATTAATCCTAGAGGACGACGCGCAGAAATGATGGAACGAAAAAACACCCATCTAAATCCACATACACACACCTGTTCTCACACGAAATTAAACAAGAATCGCAACGCATATCCGGGGACCAAATCAGTCAAGAAACCCTGCGGGGAGGCGACCTCTCCCGCAGGCTGTCGACCCTGCAGTAGCGCAGCTGCAGCGACACCTGCCGCTCCATCTGGATGTGCTTGTAGAAGTTGGCGATGAACAGCTCCGCGCGCCGGTCGATGTCGTCGTCCCCCGCCGGCGACGACCCCCCGCTCGACGAGGACGTCGCGCCCGACGAAGCGGACCTCGAGTACTCCGACGCCGCCACCGCGCTGCTCGTCCGCGACACGCCGCCCGACCCGAGGCTCGCCGTCCTGGCCGGCCCGGCGGTGGACGCGGGGGAGCCGTCGTCGTCCTCCGCGTCGAGCAGGCCCGGCCGCCTCGAGCCGAAGCTGAGGCGGAGCGGCGCCGTCGCGCCGGGCGCGCTCCGGCGGCCGGCGATGGAGTTGATGATCCAGCGCGTGGCGCTGAAGGAGAGCAGGAACCGCACCTTCTTCACCGCCGTCCGCAGCGTCCCGAGGAGCGACGCCGGCCGCGATGCCTTCTCGGACTCCATCGGATCGGTCGAGGACGGCGACGGCGACTTCTCTTTTCCTTAGTGCCGAGGTTTTGGAGTCGTCGCAAGTGGCTAGCAAACAGCGCGAGACAGATAATGAGACGGGATTAAAAGTGAGAGGGCGAGAGGTTTCTGTGGGCCGTATATATAGCGGGCAGACGTGGAAATGTCGCCCACGTACGGTTAGTCAGTGCGGCAAGCTACTCGGCTTTAAGAAATTTCGAGGAATGTACGCACACACAGAGCATTTTTTTTCTTTTGCGAAATACGTAGCACATACAGAGCATACCATCTCTACATGCATACACGTAGGAGTAGATCGGTAGATGCATGCACTCCGGCCGTTAATTGACGCGTATTCAAGGTCGTATGACCGAGCAACATGTACATAGTAGTATATTTTTTGCATGGAGAGCAACATGTACTCCTACATGGCAATCATT